AAGAGGATTTTAGCCTATCTTTTTTAGAAAAATTATTATTCAACAAAATACACTCCGGTGGGTACCCGGGTACCCGGGTGGCAACATAAGGGTTAATATCATCACACAAAGTTTCGACGCGTTACTCCGTTTCCATAGAAAATACCTTCGAATTATCCAAACACTGCTGTCATACCTTAGGCCAAAGAGTCTTGTGTTCTGTCAGCGAATTTCTACGTTAAGCTTTTAGTTTCGGGTATCTCTGATGAAAAAGTTGGTTGAGAGACGACTCCTCTGCGAGCTACGCTCGATATTATTTTAAGAAAAAGAGTGCGAGAGCACAAGCTCAGCCCAAATTAATGTTCTACAGAATGAAAAATATGAATCTCATTCATACGGCAGTTTTGGTTAAGGGGGTCTATAAATAGTTATATTTGAGTTATTTTTTTTTTTAATTGAATGTTTATTTAAGAAAAACATGTAGAACAGTAACAATTTACCATGGGAGATTGCAACCCAGTAGAACTGCGGCTAAGAATTTATGATGAAGTCATGGTGAAAATTATGAGTCCATGTCTAATTCCGAATTGCGAGCATTTTTTGGCCATGGTGCGCTTCAATTCGAGTTGTTGTCGGTGGCATTTCCATCTTCTGATCCGACCAGTATTTCTTTTCGAATTATGGATATTCGGCTTTGCGGTTGACTTAGCTGGTTTGTCGGTTTTCACATGTGATACTTTTGCAACGTATCTTGGTACCCGCTTTCCTTGCTTTTGAATGTATTCGTCTGGTTTTAAGCATTTTGAAATGTCTGAGTAATGCTTCCACTTCTTAGTGTTAGCCTGTTCACCGATCTGCTCGAACAAACATACTAACTATAGTTTCTTGAAAAACATACCAACTTCTTCTTCATCGTCTTTATTGGCGTAGACACCGCTTTAGTCGAGTTTAAAACAGTGCGCCAGTCATGTAGCCAGGTCCTGCTCCACCTGGTATTTCCAACGGATTGGGGGGCTTCCTTTTCCTATGCTTCGCCCGGCGGGTTTAGCGGCGAATACTTTCAGAGCTGGAGCGTTTTTATCCATTCGGGCGACATGAGCTAGTCAGCGTTGCCGCTGTCTTTCAAGTCGCTGAACTATGTCAATGTCGTCGTATATCTCGTGCAGCTCATCGTTTCATCGAATGCGAAAGTCGCCGTTGTCAATGCGCAAAAGACCAAAAACCTTTCTCTCGAAAACTCGTAATGTCGACTCATCAGGTGTTGTCATCGTCCACGCGTCTGCTCCATATAGCAGGAGGAGATAGAAGTTTACTTCTCAAATGCCTACTCAGTCTGAAGTAGCACCTGTTGGCAAGAAATTTTCTGCGTTTGGACTTCGAGGCTTATATTGCTGTTGATTTTAATGCTGGTTCCAAGATGGACGAAATTAACTACGACTTCGAAGTTGGGACAGAAAGGTCCTTCCCTAACGTTTTTCAACACGTTGAGCAATACGTCCTACACCTACAAATATATAACTTTGAAAAGAATGCGCAATCTGTCTTCAGTAGAATACTTTTGTCGAAATAACTACCAAAAATGCAAGCTGTTCAATTTATGCGGTCGTGGAATTTTCATTAAAAACTGAAGGCAAAGTATAGAAGTGTCAGAAGAGTAAACTTTACAACTGTAAAGGCAAAATGCACTCATACATTTAAATTATATAAGCATCCTTCTAGCAATCCTTCCAATCCATCTCTCGAACTTCTTCAAGTCAACTCCTGGAACATTCTTATTTTTTCATCCAAATCACGTATATGAAAATCGATTAACTGTTTAATCGATGACAGGACTTCTACCGTTCAGTAGCAGTACCTCATATTTTCATTCAATTTCTTTCTTTTTCTATCACTGCCAACAACAGTAGCAATATGCATTGCCTTGCGTATTTGAAGTCACTTTATTATGACAAACAAGTGCCTCTATTATTATATTTATCAAAAAGCCGCTAGTATTTCCGCATTGACGTCATTATTTGTCCTAATTAAAACAGTAAGAATGCAGAGCAAATGTCTAAATTTATCACTTTCTATAATTATGAAATGCTGATGCGCCACAAAAATTGTAGACAAAAGAAGCCAGCAGAGCTTTGACGCAGAATAGCCACGGCTATACATTAGACTATAAGGCGTCACACAATCTGCTTTGCGTCATGACGTCATTAGCATTAAGCAAGAAGAAATGATGACATACAAGTATTTGCCAACCAACAAGTCAAAGCTTTTAGAAAGCTATTTTTTCTATCGACTGTCACTGAACTTGAAACACGTGCCTCGGCTGAGTAGAGGGTATAATAGGAGGAGCGAGTGGGCACAAATTAGCGATTAATTCTAAATAACTGACCTTAAGTGTCAAAAGCAGCGTGTAGCAATGATGCGTGATGATGATAGGGATAACAGAAACGCTAGCTGACTGAAGCGACGAGCACTTGCTAAAGTGTACTGATAGATAATAAGTATCATCTCTCGTAATTGGGTGGCATACCAGCGTTTCCATACATACATACATAGCAATGTAAAGAAAAACTTTTCAATAATTAATTAAGGAAGAACTAAGATCGAGCACAGCCCCACATTTTTAGTCTCGCAATTTGCATACTCGTATAGGTTATATAGGTTTAAAGCAGCCCTAGTAAACTATTTCATAATCAAATAAGCGRGCGGAAATCATTTTATCGGGTTTTTGAGAACTAGGTAGTATCGATTTTGTAATATTGAGATTGCGTATTTTCCTGCTAATAATGTCTTTTGATGCAAAAATGCGGCATGCGCTTCCCTAGCCCCTTTATACAAGTATGTAACTAATATCATCATCTTTTGTCGTTAAAGCTTCTTGTAAGTTTGGCTGTTGCAATGCGACCTTCAAAGATCTCGGTGATCGTAAGCTCTCCTTTTCTTTAGTGGTGCCTCTACAAATTTCTTCTACGCTCTATTGTCTTAATCGCTGCGCTTTGATAAAGCATATTCATATTTATGAGTCGGCTTTGTCCTTTTCGAGTAGAGTTCTGGATTGGATTGTGCTCGGTAGCATAATACTGATCGAATGACTATTTTACATTGTCTATTGAATATTTTAACAGTTTAATTGCGGACGCGTACAACACGTTGGCGGTTTGTATTTTCTCTTCGATACTCAGGCTTGTTAAATAATCCCTACTCAATTGGAATTAGTAAGTAAACGCTTTCACGTATATAGGGACTTGCAAAATGGTGGTATTCTTAATCAGATTTAATTTTAAAATTTTTGCATTTAAGGGTTTTTGGTAACCGCATAATATCAAACATTTTAAGAATTCTTTTACTTCTGCTATAGGTTTCCATTGAAGCAATGTCATTTGAATGGGGCAGAACTATCAGTCAAACTCCTTCTACACAAAATCCTAAGCGCACTCATGTCATCGATTTTTAAATATTTATATTTACTCATTATATTAGATTAAGAAGTATGTTTCCACTCATTTGGACATATGATATGATTGACATGCGCTAGTGAAACATTGAATCCACAAACTTGTTTCCAAAGCAGTAAAGCCGAGATATAATTTTCGATTCGTTGTTAGTACTAATTTTTACGCAAGGGTTGCTTGGTGCATATAGTTATATAGTATCTAGATTTATTTCCAAGTAATCAGTGTTAAACTCATTGGAATAAGACATAAAATCAACTCCTAATTACACTCTCAATAAAATCCAAATAGTCGTACACCTTTGTGAGCTTCTGCGCCATATAAACGTCGTTCCGAAGTGAGTTCTCCGAATCCACCGCAATGACGCGCTCTTTACCTGACAAATCCTTTTGGGTGAAAAATAACGCCCCCCGTGAGGAGCTATAAGACGAATCCAAAGCATTGTAATAACGTACACATATTAACGAATTCTCATATGGATCTTGCGCGTGAGACTCGGCGAATGTCGCACAATTTGAGTATGGGACAAGTTGACCGCGCAATTCCTGCAATGTTTGTAACAAAACCGAATCTGGAATTAAATTGAAATCATAAAAAAAAATTTAGCAAAATTCGTTTCAAAGAAACAGCGCCGGAAATGCAGACAAGCGCAAAAAAATTTAGAAATGGGTTGTCAAATATTAAAGAAAAAATAATATTTTCAGAAAATTTGATAAATTAAATAGACACAATTTATAAAAGATAGATAAGATTTTCTCTTGAATTTGACCACAAAAATATATTGTACGGCGCAGTCGAAAAAATCTTTTCGTATTTTGTCAATAGATGTCGTTGCAGTCGTATATCTCCAGTAGCACTGGAGTAGCATCACATTGTGTCGTACGGTATAATGTTGGAAAGTGAGACTTTGAGCTTTGTTCAAAAAATTAAATTCGCGGAAGTTAAAAAAGGTTTTAGCTGTTCAAAAATGTGTAAAAACAAGGAATAAAGTCGCTATATTTTGATATATTTAAATATTGTAAAAATATATAAGAACGCCAAAACCTGAAAAAAACTTGACCTCGCTCTGGTCGACCCATCGTTGAAAAGTCGATGAAATTAAAAGCATTTAAAAGGCTGGCAACAAAACGAAGCTCGATGTTTGGGAACTACATGAACTGTCTGTGAAAAACATACATATCTAAAGTGAATGGTAACAGGAGACAAAAACTGGATCATATATGACAATAATATGCGAAAAAGATCATGGTCCAAGCGTGGTGAAGCTCAAAAAATTGCCGCAAAGCCAAGATTGACGCCTCGAAAGGTTATGCTGAGTGTTTGGTGGGATTGGAAAGGAATCATCCACTCTGAGCTGCTCCAGCCCGATAGAACGATTGATTCTTCATTTTACTGTCAACAACTGATGACTGAAGGACTTCGTCTTCCATCAGGACAACGCTAGACCACACACATCTTTGATGACTCGGAAAAAACCGGGAGAGCTTGGCTGGGAAGTTTTGATGATGCATCCATATAGCCCTGACCTTGCACCATCGCAGTACCATTAGTTTCTGTCAATGCATAACTCCCTTAATTGAAGCTAACTTTACTTCAAGAGAAGCCTGTGAAAATTACTTGTCGAGTTTATCGCCGAGAAACCAGAAAAGTTTTACACTGATGGAACAATGTCTTTAGCGAAAAAATGGCAAAAAGTACTCGACCAACATATTTGGTTCATTAAAGTTAATTTTAAAAATAAACAAAATCTTAAAAATTGTTTAGAAATGCGAAAAGACTTTTTCGACTAACCTATACAGCTATATGCTGTGGTATAATGGTCTAATCTGAACAATTTGTAGGAAGACTGTAGCACTCTCCTCAGCCTCTGATTACTTGTTTTTAATTTTAGTTTGATTTTTGTGTATTTGTAACGGCGTATTTACCTTGATGTTGTGTGTAAAAAATCTCGGCGTTAGTTATTGAAATTGTTGCAGCAGTGTATAAACAGCTGGGATACACGAGTGATGAGTACTCCACATCGCCTTCCAGTTCGATCACGCCTACATTATTCTTTGTGTTAGCGTATTTGGGATGTATATGCGTTTTCTAGAAAGAAACATACATACGTGAGTGCATACATATTAGACAGAATAAATTCTTAATGCAAGTATTACTTTAATATTCTTTCCGATGGCGCTTGTTTTATCACTGCGATTTGCCAAGCGCACAAAATTGGCCCCACCTATGTATAAGCAACGGGCCGAAGTTAGAACAAAGCGTTGACCAATCAAAGCCCCCATACATCTAAAAGAACTAGACCAACGCATCTTCCTTTCAACGATAGCCAGGGAAGGATGAATTCCTGACACGTACCGCTTAATGCCTTTCAATTGCAATGCTCCTTCAATTTCTTCACAAACTAAAAATATAAAAATATACGCATTGGTTACTGATACTGATAGTGGAAATTTTTGCCAAAAATACAGTTATTTGCTTACCTTGTGAAGCCAGGCGCCCTACTGTTGGTACATTTGGTGAGAGTACATGTGTTACTGACGGTACTAATGATGTTGGACTAGAAATTGCACATTTGTCAATAAAAGAAAACATTTACAAATTCGCGGTTTAATTTTATATGAACAAACATTCATATTTACCGACGCTCTCCGCCTGTAGTGCTGGGATTTTTAAAAGGGCGCTCTCTTTCTGGCAATGGACGATCCCTAAAGATATAGAAAAAATATATATAAACGGCAAGGTAACGGACTTGCAATTTAACGGTGGTTCGCAATAGTGTATCTAAATGAAACAAAGAGCGTACGACGAAAGCACAGTACGAAATACACCGAATGACAAAGTCATCAAAAGAAGCTGATGGCGTCAGTCATTTTCACTGTTTTTGTATTCCTGCTTATATATACATTTCAAAGTAAACACAAATTTTTGAGTCTAGCTCCCCCTGGTGGTGCCATCTATATTTCGACTGTTGCGTTAGAATGTGTTGTCTTTATCGATTGTCCACTGAGAATTTCATGACATTTCATTCATTGAAACCGAAGTTATTGCGTTTTAACCGACAGTATGTTTGTGTTATCGGTACAAAAGTGAGCTTGGAACAAAGAGCCAACATTAAATTTTGTTTTAAAGATGGTAAAATGGATGAAACAAGTTCATGGCGATGATTGCCGATCCCAAAGCAGAGTGCACGGCTGGTTTCAACGTTTTCAAAGTGCTCGTGAGGACATAAATGACGATCAACATGTGGGCCAATCAAAACTGTGCGGAAATTCATCAAAAATCTGCCGAAATCATCATCACAATTCATGGGAATGGAATTGAAAATCTCCAAAACATCGATTTATCGCACTTTGACCAAACTTAAGAAAGAAGTGTGGACGGTTTGTTCCGCACAAATTGACTGACTACCAAAAATTGCTCAGAATCCAACATTCGAAGGACATCATTAAAGAGGTCAAAAAGGACAGAAACTTCTTTTACAATAATGTGTCTGGTGACGAAACGTGGTGTTTTCAATAAAATTCCGAAACGAAACGTCAGAGTGCTGAATGGAAGGCACCGGACGAGCCGAACGGAGAAGTCAAAAGTGAAAACAAATCTGATTTCTTTTTATGAATCTAAGCGTATTGTCCACAAAGAATTTGTTTCACCCGGTCGAAACGTTAATGCGGTATTCTAAGTTGGTGTTTTGAAGCGTTATTGCGAAGATGAAAGTTGGCGTTTGTGGCACGATAATGCGCCGTCTCATCCATCGACCAAAAATCACATTTTAACCATTCACCACTCCCCGTATTCACCTGATATGGCACGGTGCAAGTGTCGGCCATACACGGCCCTCAGTTTTTGAGATATCGATCTGAAATTGTAAACACATTCTTTTCTTCTGAAAATCGCAACTATAGCATAAAACTTTCATAGAAATTGGCCGATCAAAATCAAGTCCTTATATGTAAGACATTTTCAACGGCCAACATAAGTAACTTCATGAAATTTGGCATAGATTATTGCATATGTACATATGTATTTGTATGGAAAACTTTTTTATTTGCCAACGTTGTTATAGCTTCGGTGCTACCGCAGTTAACGTTCTTTCTTTTGTTATTTCAAACATGCCTTTCATTGTTATTGTCATTAGAAGGTCCAAAAATTTAATTTTTGATTACTTTTGGCGGGTGATTTGCAATGTGGTAATGCCTATTGCCAGATTTTGTTGTTTGATTTTGATTGAAAAATCGACTATAATTTGGAGCTCTCTACGCAGTTTTACAAAGAAACGATCTGCCAACAAAACATTTTTCAATCTCGGCAAATATTTATTTTATACTTATATACAGAACAAGAGCGTAAAAGTTAAATTTACCTGTGCAAAAGCGAAAACTTAGATGTTAAATCTGATACTGTCGCACTTAACCTATGAATGGTGTTTCTTAGCTCTTCCTCAATTTGCCTGGATCCCGAAATTAAGCTGTGCAGTAAATACATATAAAAATTGTAGTGTTTGCAAAAAAGTATAAATATATATTTTAATAATATTCACCTCTGTATTTTATGTTCCAGAGTGTTCATCTTTAATTCATAGCGGCTCACAGTGTGCTCCAAATAGTCTAATTTCTTCAATGTTTCCAAATATTTTTCTTTCGACTTCTCTCTCGATTGTATGGTTTCCACTACAGTTCTGTTTATGAAAGTACATTCAATTGTGGCTCAAATTATTGCAGTTGTTGTACATATTTACTGTTCTAATGTAGTTAGCTTTGCTTCGCAAGTGTTGCCCCAATTAATTAAATTATCGATATCGTTGTGTACATCCATATAGATAATGAATTGCTCTGTCGTTTCGTTAGGACATATTTCTTTGAAGAACAAAGGTATCAGCATAAAAAAGCGTAGATTCCTCATTTCTATGCTTCCTCAGCAGTAAGCGCTTTAATAACCTGATTAAACAAATAATATGCTAGATCACTATCGACGTGATGGTCCATGGGTGCAATTCCCCACCAGACAAGAGAAGAACGATGAGAGAGCAGAATTGAGAAAAATAAAAAGCAGCTTAACTCGATAGAAAACTCTGATGCAAACAAAAAAACGTGTATAATAGTCAATGATGGTGAGGAAATTTCAGAAAACTTAACGACTACCTGAACTTTACTCGTTCGATAGCTCACGCTAGTTAAGAAAATAATAGTGGAGATGGAGAATTTTTTTTTTTTTTGCTTAAGAAATTCTTTCGTTGATATTTCTCAGAGCCTGTTTTCGGATCTTAATTTCTGCACTATTTTTCTGTATTTTTAGATTTTTTTCTATTATTGCAGACATATCGTTATTGCTATCAATAAGACTAAAACAAAGCCAGGTCCTTCTTAACCTGGTCTTTGCAATGGAGTGAAGTTCTTCCTCTGCTTCCCCGGAAGCGCTGGAGTGCTTTCATCCATACGGACGACATGACTTAGCCAGAGCAACCGTTGTCTCCTTATCCATTCCTGAGAAAGCAGAACTAACGACGCGGTTGTTGAAGAAAATTATACCTACTCCATTAAGTTTTGCAGCTAAAATTATTTTCTCCAGCAACAGATTGAAGAAGTCGTAAACAAGGGAGGCGCTTGACTGAAATCGCATTTTGTATCGCACGGCTCGGAGAAGTCCTTCCCGATTCCGATGGAGTTTAGTTTAGCTGCTGCTTAATTTATACTACTGACTCCAGAACAACGTTGAGTGGTGAATGATTTCGCCCAAAAGCAGATAGATCCAATTTTCACAAGAAAATGTTGTTCAGCGATGAGAGCTCTCATTTGGTTGAATGGGAATGTAAAGTGATGATAATGCAAAAGCCATTGTCGGGATGCCATTTACATCTGCTGGGTTTTCAAAAATGAAGACGGCCATAGGGTTATAATCATTGCGGAACGTTATATATCCATGATTAATGACTTGTTCGTGCATGAACTGGAGATACTGATGTGAACGACCCTTTGTTGTAATATGACGGCGATGCATGCTATACCTCTAATGAAACAATCAATTTATTGAAGGAAACTTTGGGTTGGTCTTCAAGATTGTGCAATTTAACACCGCTAGACTGTATATAGACTGTTTATGTGTATGCGGGTTTTTGAGGTCGCTTATCTAGGCAGATAAGCCCAAGACGGCGGTCACTTGACCGATATCATTTTTAAAACATATTGGCAAACTCTCAAGTTTATAATAAAGCTAAATTCTTGACTAAAAAAAACAGCACATGTCTACAGAACACCCTGTATGACGACTCAGATCCGTTGCTATGGTTTGACTTGCATACACAGTAATTATTTGCGATAAAGCCATAGCGAGTTCGTTTCGCGTCACACACACGTAGTCAGTCGTCACAAATATTCGACATATTTACCCTTTCTGACGCAGCGCAGAAATKATTATTATTTCGATATTTTTATTGCACAACTTTTAAAAATGGTGTAAAATGAACATAATACCTACATACCAATGAAATCACAGGACTCTCCATATAATGGAACTATTAAAAACTACTAAAAGCACGATAAGCACAAATTTACCAGAAACTTTAAATTTTAGCCCCGAAATGGTATGACAGATGTTTACTGTTTCCAATGTCAAAATGGGACTATGAGCGAGGCACCGATTTCGAGTCGGCATGTAACATGCGTCTGACCTATGCCTATCTAACGAGTAAATCGGATCACAACCGCGCGAGCAGCAATTAATATAACGGAATAAAAGTTTGCACGAATAATGCTTTTAGTTTAAGCCAATTTGTAATCAAAAATTGTCTAAACCCAAGCAAAAGTATTGAAGCCCCTAACTACCGAATATGTGTGTATCAATAGTTGACTTTTGACCATTTAGACCCGAACTTATTTATGTCTTCCTTACTTGTTTATATATGTTTATTAATAACTCTCGAATTTCGTTGAAAATATCCCCTTTTCACACATCAAATTAAATTTGATTTAAGTACTTATCAGTCCTAAGCGGAAGACAATTAATTCTTTCCCACTAAACTATACCTTTCACTATTTCGTTACAACTGCATTATAATAAGTAATGCCTCTCGTATATGTAAGTAGATTAATGAACAACTCAGAGAACCAGATTAACTCACGTATGTAGTTTGATGATAAGAAGTTGTCAATTTTGCGAATGTATTTTGGGATTGGATTACACTGTTCTAGACAATTTCTTGACGCAGTTTTCAGGTCTCGATATCTTGATTACCTTGGGATCATTTCAGTTTTATTTTTACAATTTTCGTAAGAGTTGTAAAAGATGCGACGATTGCAAAAAGTATTTGTAATGGGAATTTTGGGCATTTTTTGTCAGCGTAAATATTGCAAACGGCTGGTGTTTGAGTCTACAATAATAACATTGGTGGAAATATTTAATTGGTTCTTGTCGAAAGTCTTTTAGATCAAAATTAACTCTCTATTTGTGGGTTCATTCATTAAAACTTAACTGACGGTTGCCGCTCTTTTTCCTTTGTTTAATTTAAATTAATTCAGCTGATTAAATTGGGATGCTTTACGCTATTATCGTTCTCCATAAAGCTCTGCGACACATTCTATATTCATATATATAATTCTAAACCTTGATAAGGGACCCCACCCGCAGTAAAGCAAAAACACTCTTTGCAAAATTATTTGTTAAAACCGATTATAAAAAGTGTCGGAAATGTTCGAACGTCAGTTGATTTCGAAACGTTGAACGAGGTGGACGAAAGCATTTAATGGTTGAAATTTTAATACGAGGGAAAAATGAAACTATTTCTTAGAAAAGCTATTTCATTATTTTGTGTTTTGTGCGTAATCACGGAAATCAGAGGTGGTAAGTGGCGTATTCTTTCAAAAGAGCACTGGCCACTATAAAAAAGTGTTGCAAATCAATTGGGCCTGTTGTGAGGCAACATGTTAAAAAATGTATATCACGCCTCCTAAGGCGGTGAGAGGTGTAAGGTGTTTCAGAAAACGAACAAAAAATCAAAATGTTTATATAAGTATATGTATATACATATATACACTATATATTAATATATATACATATATAGATTCGTAAAAGTTGTTGAACAAATTATTTATAGGGAGGTGATGCCTGGTGAATAAAATAACACCGTTTGTGATAAATTTTAATGATGTTCGCAAAATTGACGTAAAAATTAGCAAAAAGTTTATAATTCTTTTAATTTTTTAGAATATGTATCGTGTATGACCCCAAGTGGGCATAAAGGCAACTGCATACCACTAAGTGGTTGTCCAAGTCTAAGCAGACTCGCCAATAACGCGCGTCGAACATCGGAACAAACTGATTACCTACAGAACAGTCTATGCGGACCGTTCAGCAACAATCCCTTTGTAAGTTATGATAATTTATACCATATATCTTGAACAGTTATATAAAGTGCAAAAAAAAATAGTGGCTGTATCACATATTCGGTCAAGAGAGTATTTTAAGAGACATTTTAGTAATAATTTTAATATTAATATACGCCAAATTTAGTGGCAATACCATGTCAAATCAAAAACTTTCACATACATGGACTTGAGTTGCATCGGTCAGTTTGTCAGCTATATGCTATAGCTTTTTGATATCGGTTTCGACAAATGAGCAGCTTTTTGGTGAAAACTGACGTGTGCAAAATTTCATATCAATATCTCAGAAACTGCAGTACTCGTTGACTTATAGACGGACAGATGTGTCTAAATCAACTGAGCTCGACATGCTGATCATTTCTATACATACTTTATAAGGTTCCCCGACGTTTCCGTTCGAGAATTATAGACAGCTTAGCAAATTTAATATAACAATTTCATTAAATTGCGACCAGTAAAAAGAAGTAATACTTGAACAACAGGAAATCGATTAATAATGCCTCGATCACCACATCCAGTTGTTCTAACCAATTTAGCAACTTCTCGGATGTTTTTGACCTCAAACTTTAGCTTTCCTGCTAGTTGTCTTATTTCACACAGATGATTTTTTGAGACACCAATTAGCGAATAAATGGTTCCAACAAAACCTCGCGGCAAATCTTCACTTTGCTAGAGCGACCTTCTGTTAACTTAACCACATGATTATTGTCTCTCTAGTGTAAAATTTACTGAGATTTCGCTATTAATCATACTTCTGTAAAAATTAACATACGTACATATGTATGTATATATTTACATTTTTATATGACTTATCAGTCAAGACTGTGTCCAGATGTTTTTTGCACCGGCTCTTACTTTATGAGAGAGAGAAAGAGCGACGAGGAAGTATGAAGGGAAGCGAGTTGAATGTGCTTGGGCCAAATACGTTGGGTTTTTATCTGTACCACCCCCCCTACTACATTCCTTTTCATTTTATAATTATTTCAATCATTAGAATTGGAGTCAATTCCACAAAAAACCTTACAGTGCACTGGGGAATTTCAATCTAATTGTAGTATATAATATGTTATATGAATTGAAATGGCAATAAAATTCATCGAGTTGCTCAATGGTGACGGAATGGGTAAAACCAATTTCAAAACTGCCCTAATGACTGTATTATTAAACAATAATTCCACAAATAGAAATTCTGAGAGTTTGTATCGTTACTGTTATTGGAGCGATTTTGCATTATGTCATGACTTCGTGAACGAAAAAAGGCGGTATGTTTATATCTCATAACTTTAGAAGTTTGAGAATAATATCACGTTTACTTTATATAAACAAACATGACAATGAGATGAGTTGAATCTTTTCACTTGTCGGTCGGTCCATCCACACAAGCAATATTTTGATGCAATTCGATACACGTGCTCCTTGGCACTTGACAGGGTTGGTATTGCAGATGGGAGGAATTGAAATATTACTCTTCTTTACTGGCGTAGATACCGCTTATGTGCTTATAGCCAAGTTTATAACAGCGGATTGGAGGCCTTCCTTTTCTTCAGTTTCCCTCGACGGGTACTGCGATACCAAATCGGAAGAGGTGATATGTGTCGATTCTCTTTTCGCGCCACACTGATGAGGTCCAATTAGTTTGTTGACGGTGGGCCTTAATATTTCACACAATACGGACGAATGAACCTTATATGCGATGTTGAGGAGGCTTATTCCACGGTGCTTGGCGCAGATTGTGGACTAAATGTTTTATGGATTGGACAGAGCACATTTAAATTCTAATCATCAGGCATACTTTCGTCCGACCATATTCTACAAAAACGCTGATGTATACTACTTATCAGTTCTTCACCGCCAATGATGCTGATTTTTTTACAGAACATATCGCTAAATCTGTGAGGTCTAAGTAGTATTAAAATTCGGGGAAAATATTTTTGTGTGACATCTTGTCCTTTTGCCAAAAATGGGTAAAGTTGGATCAATACAATTCTTTGCCTTATATATATAGTATAAATATTTTCGAGCTTTTCATTGACTTTATGCTGCATATATAGGCCAACGTGCAAGGAATCTTCATAACATTCATATAGAAACTGTTTCTAATAACAGTTTATACTCTTGCCTAAAATGGATGAAATCAGGGCAATACTTCCCTTAGTTTAATATAAAGCTTTGCCAACACGTGAATGTATTTCCCGGCTTTGATCCTTGAGCCCAGCCCTTCCGTACCTGCTTTTTAAATTATTTATATGGTTGCTGTTATTTTTTAATAACCGTGTTAATTAAATTAAATCTCACAATACACAGGTATGTTGTCCACTGCAGAAACCACCGCCATTGAGATCAATCGAAACGTTGCCAGAAATCGGTAATTGAAATCTTTAGAGAACATAATATGGTTGTCAAAAAAGTCCTACGGTATTTTCGCAAGTTGGCGCTGAGAGCGCGTAGTTCTAGTTTTATTCGTCGCATCGGGTCATTCTATACCTTTTTGGAAAGCTCATTTCACGCGCTAACACGTGTTTGATTTATTGTCGTTTCTTTTAAGTTGTTCGTGAGTTATAGCGTCGCAAACATGGAGCAAAATAAAAAGAAAATACGGCATATTTTACAGTATGCGTAGTAATCGCTGAATTGGTCGAAAGAGACCTGCATAGTAGCAGCCGTAGCATCGGTCAAGAGCTGGGCATGAGTCATCAACAAAAAATTTTATGAACAATTGAAAATTCAATAAAAATACCGCAAGAAATACCGCAAGACTTTTTTCACAACCTAATATAATATATACATACACTTGTGCTCATATAATTAAGTCATTCAGTACTTTTTTACAACATGTAAAAAAACAAGGTATATTTCTTTATGCAACATCCCTAATATTGCGCGAGCAAAAAGTTCCGTTATTCTCGGAACGCAACCGATTTACAGCGCATTCAAGTATTTTCGTTTGGGAGAGTTTAAATGAATTTTCCATTTATTGTCAATAAAAGTGTGCTCACATAATTAAGTCATTCTGTTTGAAACAGGTAAATTAAAATTTTTTCGCCACAATTTACATCAATATTGTTCTTTTTTACTAAATTAAGTTATTTTTAACAAAATTTGTAGTCATCGTCGTCATGGGCAAGAATAAAAGCACAACTTCATGCGAAAGAAGGGTCCAATGGGAATGTTTTCGAAAAATATCAAAATATTGCCGAAGTTGTATATATTTTACGATTTTCTCGAGGCAAAATTAATAACGACGACTACAAGAAAATTCATTGAATGGCCGTTCAGCAAGACGAAAACTTAACGTTTAAAAAAAAAATATTGAAAAGCAAAAAGCGTTTGCTAAAGACCATCTCTGGAAGGACTCTAAATTTCGGAATTTGGTGGTTTGGAGTGACGAATCCAAATTTAATGTATTTGGTAATGATGGGAAACCATATGTAAGACGACCCCCTCAATCCCAAATACACTAAAAAACCGTGAAACATGGCGGTTCATCGGTGATGGTGTGGGGTTGCTTCACGTCATCAGGCGTTGGCCCGATTGTTAAAATAAACGGGAAAATGACAGGTGAAATGTACAAAGGAATACTGGAGAACAATTTAGACGGTGATTATGTGGACAACTTACCGCTAGCTTGGATTTTCCAGCACGATAACGACCCCAAACACTGCTCGCGGGTCGTTAAAACTTGGATACGTAGTCGAAATATTAAAATTCTGAATTGGCCAGCTCAAAGTCCGGACCTAAACCCCATAGAAAACCTATGGGGGATTATAAAAAGAGCCGTAGCTGCACGAAAACCTCGCAGCAAAGATTCTTTATGGGAAATAATACAGGCGGAGTGGTACAAAATAAGTCCCGCCCAATGTGATACTTTAGTCCAAACAATGCCTAAGCGATGTACTGAGGTGCTACGTAATAAAGGTTATCCAAMYAAGTATTAGTCTYAGGTAAGGTAAAACTGCAAAAAAATGTCGTATACTTCGAATAACATTTTTCTTTAGGTGACTTAATTATATGAGCACAACAACATGGATGGGCTAAGCGAATGAACGCAATATTTTTATTATTTTAGAAGTTAAATAAAAAATAACTGAACTGAATTAAAATTTCTTCCATTTTTTGTAAAATTAATTTTCATTCCTGTACCATAGAAGTTGCTTTGAATAAACTTTTTTCTGTTACTGGCGTGACGTAATTATGTGAGCACAAGTGTATATATATTATATATGGAGCACACACATATATATATACATATATATAATATATATATGTATATGTAAAAGTAAACTAAATTTAACTTAAGTTCCTCAATTACTTTTACGCAAACTTGACAGAAAGTCTCTGCCTGACACCCAACGGCAAAACTGGAAAATGTGTACTCTTAAAGAGCTGCGGAGTCTTACTGGATCTTCTTAGAAAAACAAACCTTACAAAGTCGCAGAAGTCACTCCTGAAGAACAGTAAATGTGGAAATGCTAATGGAAAAGTTTTGGTAACTATTTTAGATCACTTTTAGATTTCCAAAGGCAGACAGATAAGCGTTATGCCCGTGGTATAAGGTCCGCGGCATAAAAAACGCTGAATGAGAATGCCGATGAATGAGATTTAGAGAACCATATGTTGATCTCAAAAATTTTAAACTAAATTAAGTACTTTATCAATAGGTATGTTGTCCCGAAACTGAGTCGACGACACAAACGGTGCACCAAAAAACAGTAACAACAACAGCACCACAGCACGACACAGCTATAACAGCACACCCTAAAACAATATCAAAACCAACAGTACATATAGCCATGAGCCCAATGGGAAACGGTAAGTAATACTCGCTCTAAAGGTTCAATGTCAGTGTATAATATCTGAAATACTTTATCATCGCTAAGCTTTGGACTCTTGATATTCTTCAGTTACAGTCTGAAAATGAGCCGAATCCCTAATTCTCATATGACACCATTTTAAATTTCTTCAAAATAGCTAAATCAAGTAACTCTTGATTGTGCCGAGTTTACGAGATCACGGCTTAAACCCTTGGAAGCTCATGCTTTCAGATATCCTAGCGAAGCAAGCGCAAGACAATTATCGGTAAATTTCTCAGAAATCTGCCGGATATTTAATGAACACCTTTTTCTGGCAAAAGTGCTGTTTGGTATTAAGAGATCGAGTTTAAAAAAAAATTAAAATTAATTTCGCATGTAACCCGACAACAACAATAAACGAAAGGCACTCTTATTGCGCTGAAAAACGATTGGGTTGCTCGATATGCAAAAACCTTGACACAAAGCACCTCTGGGCAAATGTCTTCCCATAGAAGACTGTTATGAGCTATATAATGTAGTCTTCATGAAAAATTTAATCATTTAAATTAATTTGAACATATTCGTTTCAATCATTTAATTTGCAATAACAGTTTAACTCTAAATATGATATATGATATATTTTAAACCTAAACGCAGAGCCTTGTCGTACACCGGATCACAAACTTGGCGTTTGTATAGAGATCGAAAAATGCCCTCCTTTGAAAAAAATCATTCTAAAAGACGCAATTACGAAAACCGAATACAATTTGTTAATGAACAGCAAATGCGGTGAATATGGCAGTCCAAAGGTAGGTATGCGATAGACCGATCAATGGCCGATTCATTGAGTTTTCAATTCTAGATATGTTGTTCGCGGCAAAATGACGCTCCGTCAGCGCCTGCTAAAATGTTAACTCGAAATATTGGTACGTACAATTATTATAATTTAATTAACCTGACACGAAGTTTCTTAGTGAGTGTTTGAGACATTGATTTGAATATTTGTGCTCGTCCTTTTCTCCTCAAGCAGATGCTCTTTTGGCGGGATTTGCTGTTATAGCATATACACAGCTGTCAAACAAGCTGAACGATCAAAATCAAATACGTGATCCTTTTACATTTGACGAGATATCTTCACGAAATTTGGTATATATTATAGGCGAAAAGAACACTACAATCTCGGAGTGGGTAGTTCAGATTGGGCTGCCAAACTTTTTGTTTGTTAAGGACATTTTAGCTTTGGTGCAACCGAAGTTAAAGGTCTTTCTTGCTTTTAATATAAAATAGAAAAGGGTCAGCAACGTCTATGCTTGTTTGCTTCTCTTTATTTAGCTATTAATGAGTACAACGAAGTTGCATATATGTATGTACATATACGAGGTTTGACAATTAAAATATGAGGCTGATTTTATTGCCGCGCTTGTGATAAACCTGTGACCTTGAAATTCCCTTTCTCTTTTTCCACCATCCCTCCCCTCTCCATTGATGTGTAGGAGTTTATGGTGATAGTGCTCTTAGTAGTGTCCAGGTGTTTGGAAAGAGTTTAAGGAGGGGCGTGAAAGCGTGGAAGACGAGGCGCGGAGTGGGAGACCAGTCGAGGTGTGGACTGACGAGTGAAACAGTCAGACAAATTTTAACCGACGATTTTTGGATGAAAAAGTTGTGCGCGAAGATGGTTCCAAAGAACCTTTCTGAGGAGCAAAAGCAGCATCGAATGACCGTCGCAAAATACTGTTTCGAATAAGTGGAAAACGATCCCACGCTGCTTGATCTAAAGGGATCGCCGTATTGCAACAGCCGCCTTATTCGTCCGACATGTCACCCTGTGAAATTTTTCGTTTCCTGAAACAAAATCGGTGGTCAAAGCGAGTCGATTACGGACATCCAGGCGGCCGTGACGAGGGTAATCGCGGACATCCCAGTCAAAGCGTTTCTGAAATGGTACGAATCGCTGTGTAGATGCCCAAGGGGACTACTTTGAAGGGGATGGCAGAGTTGTAGAATAATTTTCAAATATACGGTTTTTATGGAATCAGTCTCATTACTTAATTGTCACACCTCGTAAAGTCATTTTATCTGATTACTTTTATTGCATCTACAGTCTTCCCCGGCAGTGAGTGCAGTGCTGCTAACGGCATGCCTGGTATATGCAAAATGTCTAGAGACTGCCCAAATGCGAATGAGTTCGAACAGAATGATCAATGCGGTTATTTAGGTGCCGGTTCACAAGTACACTTATATATATATATATTAAGAGCTTATTTTATGTTAACTTAAATTTGCAGATATGTTGTCCAATAAATATGCTTGAAAACGATTTAAATTTTCCCACAACAACACAAATAAGCCGTATGACAATAAACAGTAAGTACTACCGCAAATGTGTCATATTTTTCCTCACAATAATATATGACACTTGTCAATTCGCGAATTCTTTTTATATTCTCGCATCAAAGTTGCTAAGGAGAGTATTATAGTTTTGTTCACATAAGTTGTTTGTAAGTCCTAAAACTAAAAGAGTCAGATATAGGGTTATATATACCAAAGTGATCAGGGTGACGAGTAGAGTTGAAATCCGGATGTCTATCCGTCCGTCCGTCCGTGCAAGCTGTAACTTGAGTAAAAATTGAGATATCATGATGAAACACGTATTTCTTGGCTCCATAAGAAGGTTAAGTTCGAAGATGGGCAAAATCGGCCCAATGCCACGCCCACAAAATGGCGAAAACCGAAAACTTATAAAGTGTCATAACTAAGCCATAAATAAAGATATTAAAATGAAGTTTGGCACAAGGGATCTCATTGGGAGGGGTATATTTGGACGTAATTTTTTTGGAAAAGTGGGGGTGCCCCGCCCCCTACTAAGTTTTTTGTACATATCTCCGAAACTACTATAGCTATGTCAACCAAACTCTACAAAGTCGTTTCTTTCAGGTATTTCCACATACAGTTCAAATATGGAAGAAATCGGATAATAACCACGCCCACCTCCCATACAAAGGTTATGTTGAAAATCACTAAAAGTGCGTTAACCGACTAACAAAAACGTCAGAAACACAAAATTTTACGGAAGAAATGTCAGAAGGAAGCTGCATTCAGGCTTTTTTTTTTTAAAGTGAAAATGGGCGTGGTGTCGCCCACTTATGGACCAAAAACCATATCTCAGGAAATACTCGACCGATTTCAATGAAATTCGGTACATAATATTTTCTTAACACTCTGATGACATGTACGAAATATGGTTTACAACCACGCCTTCCAATATAACGCTATTTTGAGTTCCCCCTGATGCCTTCTCTGTATAATACTCATATATACATTAGGAACCAATGATGATAGCGGAATAAAACTTTGCGAGACTATAAAATGTTCGGTGACACCCGAACTTAGCCCTTCCTTACTTGTTTATTTAAATCTATTTTTTTAAGAGTACATTTTGAAGTAGGATGTATTGTAGATCATCACACACCACACAGACACTGCGTCCATACTCTTGGCAGTTTGTACATTGTTCTGGACCATTTCTCCTATGTGATTCTTCATAAATTGTAAATCAGGTGTATTTAATTTTTTTTTATTTTTGACCTGGCTGAATGGAAAGAAGGCATTCATAAATAACCGTTAATCAATGTTAAAAGCAAATATTTGAAGTTCAGTTTCTGGTTTCGATGTTGAAGTATATGAATTGTCAGCTTTTTAGATCTTATAAACAATATTGACTTAGGACCGATGTTTTCAATCACTAAGCAATCAGTATTTTACCCAAACGGAATTTGCTGTCTCGAAGTGCTATGAAGTTTAAGTCAACATTTGTCATAAATAATTAAACTGCCTTCAACTTAAGCTTTTCAATTTTAGCTACACCCTTGGCAGAAGTTTCTTGTCGCACACCGGTCAACAAACCTGGTAAATGTATATCCATAAAAAGATGCAGTACCTTGCTCGAAATTGTTATGAAACCCGGCAGAATGCCTATAGAAACTATGTTCCTGCAGCAGAGTCAATGTGGATATGATAGTGGAGAGTATATGGTAAATATGAAGTATCACTTTTAAGTTCCTTAAATTATTATAGATAAGAAGAGCTTTTGAGGCAAGAAGTTGTGGTTAAATTACAGTAAAATCCGTTTTAGAAAAATATCGAAATCGCCGAATACTTGCTTGCGATAATAATGTTGTCCATTTATTTATAATTGGTTCTTAATGAATTTATTTCCACAGGTGTGTTGCCCTGAAACTAAGTCGACAACACCAACTGCACCCACAATTGTTACAACACAAACAACAACAACGCAAACAACAACAGCACCAACAATTGTTACAGAGAGCTCGTTTACCTCAACATTCGGTAAGTAGTAATCGTTTGCCAGATTCAATGCCAAAGTAGAGCGACCAAATCTGAGAAAATTCATTGATTACTGTGTGCTTGAAGCACAACCTCTATATAAATTTTTGACATTTTGGCATGACATGGCTTTGTGATCTCAAAACCACGGAGCCAGTATACTTTAAGACCAAAACAAGTACGAGAGACTTTAGTTGTAGAACTTGCCTTTGGTAAAAGAAAAAATATTTAAATTGATGTTATAAAATGTCGTATTTATATCGACTTCTTGCCGGATACCATACCTTCGGTCAATATTATATATTTATAGTGGAGTAGTGTAGATATACCACTCCACCATAGGAGCCAATAAAATTGTTTTCATCTTTCCGGTACACTTCATACTGGATATATCGATCAATTATGAAATATTTTGGTAAACCGAATAAGGATGAGTTTGTTAAGCAATGTATAATTTGTAAAATATCAAACCGACCCTCTCTTTATATCTGATTTGAAACTGTATAAGCGTAATATATGCAATATACATATTTCTAATAACTACATTATTTAATTGAGGAATTTATTTACAGCGCCTTATATCGAACCACCAAAAGAAAATACCAACATTTGGGTAAGTATACACATATAGACATACATACTAGTCATAAGTGAACCTAAAAACTCGATGGTTCTGCTTTATAAAGAATTTTTCGACAAGTGCATAGATCACAAACTGAGTTACCGTGGGATTTTGTCCGCTCATCGTAAAGCTCTTAAAAGCTTTTTCAATTCGCTAAACTTACACGGGTAATATATCCGTATTACCTTTTACCGGTTCTTAATGTAAAGGCTTTGGTATAATTTGGCACTATCGTAGTTACCGTTATCGACGGTAAGCCATGCATACCTTTATTTGATAATGGGCCGATGACTTTTGTACTATACTGACATACTATGTATATATGGTATGTATTTGAATAATTTCAGACGAATGAACCAGGATGTGGAACAGCACCTTTACAACCCCGAATTTATGGCGGAAATGCTGTTCATATTGATGAGTACGCTTGGGCAGCGAGGATACTTTACGTCGACTGTAAAGTATATGAAGTATTGTTCTTAGAAAAGTAATAAAATTTAATGTTGTTTCCTTACAGCGGACAACAACAACGACATATTTTGCGGTGGATCTCTTATCAATCAAAATTACGTATTGACTGCAGCACATTGTGTGGTTATGCCTGAAGAGAAAGACGATTGGTATGTAAAAGGAGTTCGTTTAGGCGAATGGAATACTACAGCGAAAAAGGATTGTGAATATTTTTCCGAAAACTACGAACTTTGTGCACCTCTACCAGTGGACATAAACATCTTCGAGTACATAGTTCATCCGATGTATAATAAAAAAAAATTTAACTACGATATAGCTCTGTTAAAGCTAGAAGAGAGCGTAACTTACACGGACTTTGTAAAACCGATATGCCTACCATTGCTGCCGGCAGATCAACAGACGGCTCATTATGAAAATATGTCTGTGGAAGTCGTTGGTTGGGGTAAGACAGAAACCGGAGAGCACAGTGAAATTAAATTGAAAGCACATTTAAAAGTTAAGGATATCAATAAATGTGGCTTACGAAGAGGAGCAACAGAAAATCAAATATGCGCCAAGGGTGAGATAGGTACCGATAGCTGTAACGGCGACTCAGGCGGACCTCTCATGCTTTGGCAAGAGACCGCTTATTATTTGATTGGCTTGATATCATTCGGTTCAGGCGGTCAATGTGGTGATGTCCAAACTAACGGTATTTACATGCGTGTCGTGAATTTTATAGATTGGATTGCTGCGAATACACAAAATTCTTGATAGCAACAATTAAGCAACATTTTAAAGAATTGCTTATTTATTATTACGCTACTCATATCTAATACTATAATAAAGCATGTTCTTTTTACTAATAAAACTCCGAAGGTCTGTTTAGAAAAGTAAAATGTTTCTTCTTTATTGCTCCCCCATGTTGCACAAAGATATTTAAACCAGGTTCTGAGTATGTACCGGAAGTAATAGGTTGTAATTATAAAACAGGAAATATTGACACCATTCAACCGATTTGAAGCACACAGACATACTACTATCAGGAAAGGATTCCTTTTGAATTTCAATTATGTCAGATTTGTCAACCAATATTTCGTTAAAAAAATCAGTTATAGGTATTGGGGTCCGAAAATTTGGAGTTCAAAAATTCGGCTATAACAGTTTTTTTTGGATTTGAACAAACTTTAGCTTGCTCTAAAGGCCTTATTAGTGCTAAGTTCTATACCGTTATATTAATTGCTTCTTGATTTAAACACTCGAAAGTTATTCTTTTAAATTTTTGTTATATGGCAAGTAGACAGGACTGTAGTCTGGTTTCGCCAATTTTCACGCATTATCGAGCCGCAGAACTAAATAGAGAAGGTACCATCTTCTATAAGAGTGTACAGCTGCTGGCGTATGCCGATGATATTGATATCATTGGCCTCAACACCCGCGCCGTTAGTTCTGCTTTCTCCAGACTGGACAAGGAAGCAACACAAATAGGTCTGGCAGTGAACGAGGGCAAGACGAAATATCTCCTGTCATCAAACAAACAGTCGTCGCACTCGCGACTAGACTCTCACGTCACTGTTGACAGTCATAACTTTGAAGTTGTAGATAATTTCGTTTATCTTGGAACCAGCGTAAACACCACCAACAATGTCAGCCTAGAAATCCAACGCAGGATAACTCTTGCCAACAGGTGCTACTTCGGACTGAGTAGGCAATTGAGAAGCAACGTCCTCTCTCGACAAACAAAAACAAAACTCTATAAGTCACTCATAATACGAGTCCTGCTATATGGTGCAGAGACTTGGACGATGACAACAACTGATGAGTCGACGTTGCGAGTTTTCGAGAGAAAAGTTCTGCGAAAGATTTATGGTCCTTTGCGCGTTGGCCACGGCGAATATCGCATTCGATGGAACGATGAGCTGTACGAGATATACGACGACATTGACATAGTTCAGCGAATTAAAAAACAGCGGCTACGCTGGCTAGGTCATGTTGTCCGGATGGACGAAAACACTCCAGCTTTGAAAGTATTCGACGCAGTACCCGCCGGGGGAAGCAGAGGAAGAGGAAGACCTCCACTCCATTGGAAGGACCAAGTGGAGAAGGACCTGGCTTCACTTGGAATATCTAATTGGCGCCACGTAGCGAAAAGAAGAAACGACTGGCGAGCTGTTGTTAACTCGGCTATAATCGCGTAAGCGGTGTCTACGCCAATCAAGAAGAAGAAGAGAACATTACAATGCTACGTACCAAATTTGGTTAAAATCGATTGAGCAAGTCTCGAGATATGCGATTTCTTCATCGTCAAATTTTGTCCGCGGCTCCTTTAAAGCTCTCTTAAACCATCTCGAAGGTAAAATGTTATATATTTAGTTATTGATTTATCACGCGTCAAGTAGTTTTTAACAGTACCGTTATATAGGGAATGAACGGGGTTATCATCCGATTTCATACACTTTCACACTGTCTGTAAGTTATAATATTTCTGCTAGTGGTTGTTGGAGCCTAAGTGACTTAAGAGATATGTATATACATACACTAAACTTATTAGAGGGCAGACACACGCGCACTTTTTCAACATTTTTTGCCCACAAGTTCCTCTTAGTTATGACACTTTATAAGTTTTCGGGTAATGGCGTTGTGGGCATGACAGCGTCTGATAACGCACTGAACCCGTATTCTATTGGAGATTTCTTTCTCCAACAATTTATTAGATAATGATTTACTAGCATTTAATAAAAATAGTTACATGTAATATTCAAATTTATCTGAGCGGTCAACATCAATTAATTTTCTGGTATGCTATTTAATCAATGTTTCTTCTATATATCAATGCTTTACCCGATCAGCTAGTCCTAAGCAAATGAAAAAAGAAAAATAAAACAAATTTCGTAAAACTATTTAATTTCTTCAATAAAGAATAGTATACCATTAAATTGACGAATCAGTAAAATCCAATATCCTATCCATAGCTTTTTATGAAAATGTAATAATATCTCACGAATTTGATAAAAGTTGTCATTTGATTTGACGTAGTAAAAGAGCTTCTAAGAGCAAAACTCTTTCGTGAACGTCGTTGGCACATATTTACCCCGCAGTACTTTCACTGTACATATGTAGCCCCATATTTGGGCTATTAGACATGGTAATCTTTTAAATATTTACTAAAAAGTAGTAAGTGTATTTCTAGTTAGAGACTTTAAATGCAAAACAAATCGCTTTTTTCTAACACATTTTTTTGTTTTTCTTTTAATTTATTTTTACGGTATTACATGCATTAAAACTGCTCGCCCTGCCCTTTTTTTATTTTTTTTCTTGTATTTCTCTTTTAATCTTCTACCTCTTAATTTGTATTTTTGTTTTGCTTTTGCCGTCGACCCGATTCAGTTGCTGCCTTTCAATTTTAATCTGAAGTGACGGCGCCGAAACGCCGCCCAGAGGTTATGCCGCGGCGCTATGTGCCATCAATACACCTTCCAGGGTTCCCACCGTTGCTCATAGATATGTACTATATGGCTACATACATAGCCTGTCTTTTTATGGTTAGCGCTGCGAACACTCATCCTCATTCCTGTATCCAGCCACTTCGTAGCGGCGCCGCTTTGATTATGCGGCCAACTTGCATCCTGACCAACGAAACGCCACTAAATTGCCGTGTTGAAATTACCTGAAGGTGTTTTACTTTTAATAAGAATTATTACCTTTTAATTAACGGGGTTCAACTGTTGACGAATGCAATAAAAACAAGACATTAGTCGGGCGAAGGGCAACAGAAAGCGCTAAATCATCGCACCAACGCAGCTGTCTCTTGTGTACGCTGTAGTGATGAACTTTTTTACTTTTTTGGTACGAGGTGAAATAATGATTGAGATTGTGGTCAACTCAGAGAAGTAGTGCTTTGATGCAGTAATTATAAAAATCCGCGATATTGTTATAAACAGAGCATATAATTAGGTAAAACTCAAATGTCCCACACCAGAGAAAATCTGCTATTTCCCAAGTACTGAAGATTTCGATTTCCTTTTGAGTTGGGAGAGAATATTTCACATCTATTGATTTTTAATCGTGACTCCTAGTATGGAAGAGGAAGTGTTATCTGATTTAAATTAAGAAAAAAAAGAGCATCCAAAAATTACCTAGCTTTAATGTAGTTACACATTTGACGTGCCACGCCTAACTACCCCTAAAACAGTTACCACGGCGAATAACAGAGATGTGTTTTCTTATATTCTATGGACAGACCGCCGTTTGAGGATGTGCGAAATAGCTGATATCGTAGGCATCTCACAAGACCGCGTGGGTTGTATTCTAAATAAAATATTGGCCATGCGAAAGTGGTCAGCGTAATATATCCCATTGTTTGACACTGATTAAACGCAATCCGGGAGAAGTGGACATACTGATGCATACCAGGGCCTGAGACACAGTCGATACATTGTACTTCACATAAGGAACTTGCGCCGAAATCAGTTCAAATCGGCATTTTGCAAGTTGTGATCTACGCCGATTAATTGGAAAGGTGCAAAACAAAAATAGGTATATAGATTCTACACCGAACAGCAGAAGGTTTCCCAAAAAATTTTGTTTTTATATTATTTACAATCGCTGACCAATGAAGCGAAATGTTGTTTCCATTGCGGCGACAGAAAAACGTTCCACACCATTATTTCACACTTCTTTTTCTTCTTCGTGTTTGGCTTAGACACTCATCCGAGATTGTTGTGTGCTTGGCAAGGTAAAAATTCGACTTCATTACGTTTATGGAAACCCAACTGTCGTAATGGTGAAATATTTAGCATTCCTTTATTGCTAACATATCACGAAAGTATCCTATGCTCATCACCGCGCGAACTTGTGCCTTCCTTGGTTATTTGTGTTTTCGTTTTGTTGCGTTTTCTAATTTCCTGTTGCTGTAAAAGTTCAAATGCCTCGTAATTGTGATTTTCTCTTGGCTAATAAAGTACAAGCCCATTCTAGGTGCTGGGTAATGTACAACCATTTTATTTGCCACCCACACACTGACCTCATTGACACCTTAGACTTAATAAAAACCTATTCGTAGTAGCTAGTTACATATGTATGTATATGTATGTACTATTGTGGGCAAAAAATAGTAAGACTTATTAATTTAAATTATTCAAAAAGGACTGTGAACCACGTCCACGACGGCTATTAACATCAACTGATGATCAAAACGCAAAGAAAAAAAAAACATTGGTGCTTGAAATTCGACAATCAACAATCAGAGATCTTACTGGTATCGTTGGGATATCGAAAGGATCAGTGAAACCATTTCGAAAGATCTTTTGTGAGTGAAAGTACAATTGGTTTTAAAATCACTAAATTTGATCGAAAAGCAGCGTCCCGTTATCGTGTGTGAAACAATGCTGTCCGACTACCAGGATGTCATAAAACGTATTATTACTGGCGACATCAAGGATATGTTGACAGTTATTTTAGATTACAGAGGTGTGCTGCACACCAAATTCCTTCCTACTGGGCAAACTGTCAACAAGGAATACTATTTAAATATCATGCGTCGTTTGCGTAAAGCTAAAAAAGAGGACGGAATTATGAGCCGACAACTCTGGTTTTTGAGCCATCGCTTACTGCATTGGTTCTTCGTGAGTTTTTCGTAAAATTTTCAACCAATCTCGTGTCGTATTCGCCTGATTGTGACTTCTGGCTATTCAGCAAACGACGACCGCTCCGGGGAAACCGTTCGTGAATCGCGATGAAGGCTATTCCGGAAATTGACTTTAACAACTGTTTCGGAAATTGGAAAAAACATTGACACAAATGTATTGGGGCCAAGGAGGATTACTTTGAGAGGGCGACGTGGATTTTGAAGAATAAATTAAGAATTTTAAAAATATGAAC